GCTTGGCGGCCTTTGAAATCTACGGTGACCAAGACGTGCCACACAAGATACATTTATTGAAAGGGCGAGACCTCAGGCTTGTCTTTGGCATCGTTACAGCATTGTAACAGCACATGTTCTTTGAATCTTTAAAGTAATTTAAACAGCTTTCAATTTCAAATCTCCCAGTAGTCATTTCAGTTCATTTGAATAACTTTCCTAAATCAGTAAAGGGGAAATGAATTCTATTAAAGAACAGTATTTTTACTTTTTATAACATCAGGTTCCTTGGTCTGTCACTATTAGCATCCTGGCATAATAAATTAGAAGTACAGTCCATTAATGTGTCCTTTTCTTATTTCTTGTCAGTTTTGACAGTCTTCACTAGTTCAACACTAAATATGGCACCCCATATCCTCCAGTGGTCTGTCCCCTCTTCTGTACACCCCATGACTCAACCATTCACATCCACCTCCAAAATAAATCTGTACTCATAATAATGAACAAATAATTTTTTAAGAGACGACAAATAGGTTAAATGTCCTCCAAAACACCTTCCTTGGGCTGGTAGACCCAATTCCATTCCAACATTTACTTCTATATTCTTGTACGCCCTGCAACCACCACCACGAGTTAGTGAACACCCCCATCCCCATCCACACCCCTCCTACACCCTTGGGTTTATTGTCTGAGCAGTTCTACGTTAATCAGGCGCATATATCCCATCCCAGCACTGCATGATTACCTTTACCAGTGTCAACCCAAGTTATTTAGCTCTCTTCTAGGAAGAAAAATGGGAAACGAACACTAAAAATGGACCCACAACTTATTTTTTATTAATATTCACTCACTTTACAACATAAACAAAGAAAAATTAATATTTTGAAACTTCAAATAAGCGAAGGGTCCTATTTGCACCCCTGAAGTGCTTCACTGAGTCAACAAATTTTAATGACATCACGTGACACGTTAAAAGTATATGTACATACTAGACAATAGAGAGCGAGCTGTTAGATGACACGAAGACTTCTGAATCTTTGGTGGGGACTGTCGACACAAGCTCTAGTTTTTTTGTCAAAAAAAAGGTTCCGAAATTTTTTGTTAATACAGACGTCATAAAAGGATTCACAGATTTGCACCATTTGACACCATTGACCATTCTTGAGAGTTGCTTGTACATCTGCAAGAACACAGGAAGACTAAAGTCACAAAGGTTCTTGCATCTTAGGAGTCTTCTGAGAGGTATGCTGATAACAACCTAAAACAAGATTCATACGAATAAATGTGATAGGTAAGCAACTTCTGATGATACTCGGTTAACGGAAGGAGAGAAAAAATGAAACCAAAATACTGAAAAATGAATGGAATGTTACATGCCCGAAGAAAAGTATGTTTAAGGGAATAATATGTGCTTGGCCGGTCGCAAGCGTGCGTTTCAAGGTGCCTTTCCATTACGCACGTCAACACTTACGCCAAGCGTAGCGTATCTGTACCGTCAAAATCGCTTGCTTGATTCACAGATTTACAACTTGACAACTTCTAGTTTGAACCAGTTAATTAATCAGAAAATCAGATGACAAGAATTTATTCAGCTGTTGTTGAAAACAAATGATGAATGTTTTGCATTGGTGCAATGGTAAGAATAATTGCATGAGGTGATATCCATTCTGTACGATTGCGTTTGTGTCGCTTTGAAATACGTTTTTCGGCTGCTGTCAGTATGTCTCCAGCTTCTTTTCATAATTCCTCTGGTTCGACTTCCTCTTTTAGGTTCAGCAGAGGTTCAAAACGTTACGTACTTCTACAGTGAAGGAATTTGGAACGTTACAGAAATCATATCTACAATCCTGGACAAAATTGTTGGGACACTTGGCACGGGCCATGCGCTCTCCAGACCCCATCCCAACTCCCCCAGTCAATGTTGTCATATCCAGCTGGAGCGCTGACCACGCTCATAGACCAAACATTGTATCTACCTTGTCGGGTTTTCTGGTATTTGTGGAAACAAAACTGACAGCCGACTATTAAGTATAGAAAAATGTATATTTTGGGTAAATTGTACAAAAAAGCAAGAAAATTATCCGTTTAGTGTTGTGTGTGTATACAGTCGACTGACTGACGTGTTTCGTTAATTTGAAAAGAGGTCGGGAGTACAAAACCATTAACACTTTAATTAAGGGATTTTGGCAGTTTATATTTCTTAAAGTAAGCATTAGGCCTACCTGTTTTCTCTCTATGTGCATAAGGTCAAAGATGCAATGCGTGCTTAGATTGTTCTGTTTGTCCATGGTTTTACTGCGGGACTCTTATGGGCGGGGACGGTGCACCGCGTGATAGCACACGGTAGCCTGTTTGCCGTCCCCCCTATTAATCTCCCTTTCACCGTAAGTGCTGGGGCCGTCTCTTACATCTCTAAATTTCTTCGATTTGTTTTCTTCAATGTACGAACATATACACGGACATGTAGGCCTGCATGTATTTGCTCCGTGTCATGGGCCACAATCACTTTCCAAAGTCACTGTGGACGGGACATAATCAGAACTTATGCGAGTGAAGAACCAAGCTAGCTGCGTGGGGTCTGGGGCTTGTTTTTTTGGGGGGGGGTTCTAGATTCTCTGTTGTCAGTGAGGCAATTTCTGACTATTTTAACAGTTTTAAGCAAAGGCTTTTGCAAAATTTATTTATTTTTTCAACTTACTTCTATTTATGATGTATACAACAATGCAATTAACGGAAGAGTTAATCAAAAAGCTTTCATCAAGGTGTAAATAAAAACTGTTTTAAGTTTTCTGTTCCCGACTTTTAAGGTGCACCACTGCACAAATGAACACCGAGTGGTGATAAGGATCATCACTGTAATCGGGAGTCAGGTTGGCTTAGTAGCTACCTCGCCTTCCACCTCTGTGGTCTGGGTTTGAATCCCTGCTCGATTCACATGTGGATTGGGTTTTCAGTCCCTATATACCTGATTCCGTGGGCTTTACCCAGAATATTCTTCTTGGGTTCCCCCCAACTCCAGAAATGTAACTACTTCTCATTGTCTCCTATCTACAGGTTTCTTCAGACTTGCGAGCTACAGTGCCTAGGACGCTTTTAAGGAAGGTGTCACTACCAGAAATAATTAATAATACAAAAAGCATTAAAACTTTTTTTTAAATTAGAGTCAATAAACAGCAAATATGAATCAAATTAATGTGGGCCTGTATTTGCCATTTTATTAGGGTCAGGCCCAGTTGGAACGACAACCCCCGACGCCCATGGTGTACGATTCAAAATCGAAAATGAACGAAACTTACACCGTCTGAGGGCGCGACATGCATGGTTGCAAATATGTGTGCCACTTCTAACTTAATTGTAGAGTGGAAACTCGGCCAATTATGCTACTCGCCGTCCTTATATATGAGGCTATGGGTGTTGCAAAGAGGGGACACTAGGGATGCTAGCTCTTTCCCGGCCACAAAAAAAGAACTTTAAAAAAACACAAAGGAGATGAAGAGATAGCTGACAAATTTCATTTTAAAATTTCATTTAAAAAAACCCCTCATAATTGACCCCTCCCAATGTTAAATCGTTTGATTGTTAAGCTGATAGGTGCTATGCTCCTTGAAAAAAATCCCTCTGCATGCACGCTAGAGCCATGCCAATGTATTTCGGAAGAAGTTCGCGGACAAAATACGACTAGGGCCTATATTCCATCGATTTGCCATTAAGCTTTAGTTTGAATGCATATAGCTTAATGTGCTACAAGTTTCCTTGACGCTAGCATACGTGACGGAGTGACTTATCATCACTGCTAACTAAAAACCAGTAGTAGCATGTCTGCACTATTAAGCAGGAGGTCATGGGTTTGAGTCCCACCCAATAATCAAGCTCAAGGACAAGCATTGTGCATAGTGTTAATTTATATACATTTATGTACATCGGTGTAACAGTATAACCTCAATGAGATTAATATCTCTGTCGCAAAGAACATCTAGAAATGACAATAATATACAAATCGAAACAAAGCTTTCTATCAAAAAGTTTAAAACCGGCAAAATAGGGATCGAGACCCCCCACTGAATTAGTAGTATTATCATTTAAATGGAGCGAAACTCTCACATACCTGACAACGCCAGCGGTAAAGTCATCACCAAGCGACTTACCGAATGCTCAACTGTCTAATATCTGATGCGTGTTCAGAGCCACATTCCCATACATGTACATACATAGCCTTTCTATCGTTTGAATAAACACGAGGAGGTCAATACTGATATCAATCTCTTTATCTTCAGCTGGTATCAAAACTGTCAGGGTCTGTGCAGTGGCGTATTCAACTCCCTCCCCCAGATTTTTTTTCATACTTCATAGGTAAGAAAGTAATCGGTATATTTATTTATCAGATATCAGCACCAAAACCCTACGAAACAAAACCATGAAATAAGAGTAAGGATGTCGGGACCACGAGTAAAGCTTTTGAAATTTTTTCTCCCCCAACATCATGTTGAATTTGTCCCCCCACACATGCACACACCAAGCCGCACACACTGTGGTATATTCAATGTCCCCGAGCTTAGCATTTGTCCAATCAAATAATTAAAACTTTCACGAATAATAACTGCTTGGCTCTTTTTCGTGGGTTTTACTTCTCTGGACTCTGCTTGATTGGACGTATTCACGAAACATGCTTCATAATGTATTTGGTAATGTTAAAACCTACTGTTTGAACATTCAAAGCTGTGTTCATTAACAAGTTCAAGCGAGACACTTAGCTACAAACCATGTTTCCATTATAAAAGCAATATTTATTTATCACATGCATAATATTTCACAAAAGCAGATTATTAGCCTAATACTGCTGGTTAAAGGTCGAAAGAATCACAAGGACTTTGGATCAACGACTTATCGCCATCTTGTTGGGCACAGATACCATACAAATCATATGTACATACTGCCGATAGGATTTGCCTATGTACGTTTACCCGAATGAGTTTAAACACTTCCGACAACGATCGTGACTTGCAGTATGCACTAGTTTTGCATATTGTTGCTGATCAGAGGTCTTTTTCATGATCTGGTCCAACCAGAGCTGGCAATAACCTCCATCAAAATATTGGGAAAACTTTAATCCGAACTACTGTCAAGAGAAAATTACTAATATTAAATACTGTCACTAAGTGGACAGTTTTCATTTGACCAATACAATGCTGTCATTATGGCAGATTAAGAGCTTCCGATGATACATCATTTTAAAACTTATTCAAAATAAAAACTTTCATTTTATAAGTTAATCACAATGCCAGTGATCTAAAACTATTCAATGGCTCAAATTTTCCTCCAAAACAATTCTCAAAAAATAATTTGCTCAGAGTCCCATGTGACAAATAACAGATACATCAATAACACATGTAAGAGAAAACACAGGTCGTGCAAACACGAATGTATAAAGGTTGAAATCATGAGTTAAAAACCTAAAATCAAAGGGAAATTTTGCGACATTGAAATAAAATGAAATTTGCTTGTTCGGCTTGAACATTATTACCTAGCTAATGAAAAACCAGAAAATTATTGTACACGTACAGATTTGAAGCAAAATTGTACCAATAAAACTTCAGATGCCATTATTTTTATGTGGTTACAGTAAGTTTGGAAAACACTTTCCTTCACTCATAAAGAGTTAGTAATTTTGAATCATACTAAATCAACTGACAGAGATCCATCACCTGCTCCCATATAATTCAGGCCTTGAGGTAAAAATCAAAGTTGGAGGAAAGAAAGTACACAAATGAGTTCTCTATTAACCTAACACACAAATGTGTGGCACATAAAACTTGTGGGAATATCATCAACAATATAGGAAAATATTGAAGAGCAGAACATTATTCATGTTTAATACTCAGTATCAATAAACAGAAATTTTATAGAAATTTGTAGCAAAATTTACAAAAATAAATTATTTTCATTGTTAAAAAATCCCTTCTTCTGCAATTTGAAATGTTAGTCTTTTACAGCTTTATGTTCTCATTCATGAGTAAAGTGTAAAAGGTTTGACCTGCACTGAACCGCACAGGTGAATTAAGGCATGTGCATACAAAGTCCCTGACACAAATTATTCAAGAAATTATAAAAAGTAGAAACATCAAATTTTATTGCCTCTAAAGAAAATCAGTCTCTACATAGAGCCATAAGTAGTTGATAATTGTTTCAGTTTTTTGACACTGAATGAAGACAACTCATTCCTATATTTGTCATAACAATGCTGAGTTGATGTCCCACACAGGAGTACAAACTTTGCTACTTTTTAAGAATCTATTTGTTTTTATACCAGATTTTTCAAGAAGAGTTGATAAATTAGTAAAATCTATTACAACCAAACATTTTGGAAGCCAAAACAGTTATTAGCTAAGCATCCACGAAATATGAATGGCCTTCACACAACAGCTGATATAAGCTGGCAAAGCCAGCCAGCCCGCCCGGCAAATACATGTACATGTATGAATAGTTGGACTGATATCTCATGCACATCATTGAACCACTGGAGTTGAAGATGTGATGATCTAAGAATTCTTTTGTGGGACCTTCACAACAACCTGCACCAAGAAACATATATGTAATTACTGTCACCACTGTGTTTATAGAAGCATCTCAGTCACCCTTTGGGTTTCACTAACATTTTCATGGATGAAAATGTTTGAGATGTTTTTTAAAAATTGCACAAAAGTGACCACCAGAAAGCAAAGCCGTTGGGGATTTTACCCTTTCCTTGGCTTTTTCATCAGTACCAGACTCAACTGTAGTTACCCAAGATTGTTTTTGCATTGAAGTACAGTTTTGAATATTGAAGGATAATATTTTACCTTGATGTTATTTCCATTTTTACAGCATGTAAACTAATGGGTACGTTTTTAAAAATCATGTATTTTTTGACATGTTAATAATTAAACAAATAAGAAGTCATGGCTAGACCTACATCAGTTAATTTTTTCTTTGCCAGTTGATCGACTTTAACTTCTAACTTAACACAACATCAGCAGATAAGATACTTTCTAAACACTACTTACAGTTTTGACTTGATAGTATTCTTGCAGTGCATCCTCGCCACTGTGAAAATGAAAAAATATTTCTTTAAAAAGATGCAAAGGGCTGTGAAGCCCAAATAGCCATTTACTGCAAGGAATAAGTACGTGTACACGTATGACCTCTCATAATGTACATTCTTTAGTTGAAACGCATGCTTTCAACTTGTTACTCCAGAAGTGAAAATTCAAACCAAGACTTCTAATTTCAATACCGCACCCAGATATATACTGATTTTTCCTCTGAACAATACTAGGTTTTGGCCTTACCTAATGCATATACATGTAAATATAAATATTTTTATAAACATTGTATACTCGGTGCTTGTCCGAAATCTTGCAAAAAAATTCACAAGCTTACTAAACCTATGACCTCCTGCCTACTAGTGCAGACATCTTAACCACTCGACCACCGAGCTTGCTGTGGTCAGCTGACCAGTCCAAATCAGATGTAGCAGCGGGTATTGCAAACTTTTCAAGATGTACTTTGCATCAGGGAGATGCTCTAAACTCTGAACTGTTAACAACATTCACAGGTCACAAGTAGAGAAAGCTGCGACAGGTATGTCAACTTACATTACAAGGCACAGTCAGGCAATTCTGCTTTATGTACACAGGGGACTCTTAACTAATACCAACAGTCACTTGACTGATTTAAAATAATTGCAGAATTTTTTCCCGAATAAAAATTTGCACAGGAGGGTTTTAATTAGTAATAAACCTGTTCTAAAAACAAAAATACTTTTATCAAAGTACTCTTTTCACAGAAGCCAAGTTTCTAATACTCACAGATCACGACCTATGCCAGATGACTTGTAGCCACCAAAGGGAGCATTAGCTCCACCTCCAGAGTAGTTATTGACCCTGAGGAGAAAAACAGTATTGGTCCAGCATTCTGCTGATGGCAAAAACTGGATACTAGAGTTGTACCATGGGTTATGTGCAGAAATATAAGGTGGCGTACATGTAGCAGGAACTAGAAGCCTTAGACAGCAGACAGAGCCCAAGCATTTGATTGTGGATAGGAATCTTACAACTAATCCAAATACCACGTTGAAAATGGCCCAGTATGCAAAGCATAAGTCTGCATGCTGTTGCGAGTAAGTATATTTGTACATATCTTTATGCTCTACATGCATCACTTACATTCCAATTTATTTGAATACTTAGTCTTCACAGTCTTGGTACTATATACTTAACTTATTCTAAACCAACTTATTTCATTAATGTGCTTTATTAGAGACTTGGATGAGAGACTCAGCAAGGTGACCAATCTTCAAAGACTACAGGACTCTACAAAATTGTATGGGCCCATTCCTCTACTGTTGCCATTTCAGTAAAACTAACCATATCCATCACATGGTTGATGGTTCAATCATGTCTTTAATGACAAAATAAAACATACAACAGAATTTCTTCCAATGTTATCTGGATAATTTCAGAGATGCTGCAGAATAGTCTAGTGAATTGTATCACTTGGCATTTCAGAAGAAATAATACTAACGTGACAAATCCTGTTTGAAGACTGTTGGCAATTGTAAGAGCCTTCTCAATATCCTTGGTGAAGACCCCTCCAGCCAAACCATACTGAGTATTATTGGCCTGCTGAAGAACTTCATCCAATGTCTTGAACTTGATGAGTAGCTGAACTGGTCCAAAGATCTGTCATCCAGAAACAAACGGCATGGGTAGTGTAGGAACCAAGGTGTCATTCAGGCATGGATGTTTATTTCTTGTTTGAAATATTGCTGTATCGGAGTAATGTCTAAATTTCTATGCAAAACCAGTTACATTCATAAGTTCACATATTTGGTCCTTCAATTTGAAAAAAATAGTAACTTCAAGTTACAGCAATAAGAGTTTACCTCTTCCTGAGCCACTCTCATGTCATTAGTCACATTAGAGAAGACAGTTGATTGGATGAAATATCCCTTGTCGCCTTGGCGTTGGCCCCCACACTCCAATTTAGCTCCCTCTTTTTTACCAATCTCAATGTAGCTCATAATCTTGTCAAACTGATCTTGATCAATCTATACAGATTGAGAAGAAAAAAGTAAATGTCTCATAAATGACTCTTACATGATATCACCAGTCAATAGTGCAAATTAGCATTGAGTAGAAAGACTACTGAAATCATCAGCTTGGTATTCAGCAAATAAACAGCGAACCTGTGGTCCTGACTCAGTATTCTCCTCAAACGGATTACCGATGACACGGCGTTTAGCTCGCTCAACACTCTTCTTCACAAACTCATCATAAATGTCTTCCTGCACAAATGTACGTGATCCAGCCGAGCAGCATTCCCCCATATTGAAGAAGATGGCCTCATGGCTTTCCTCAACAGCATAATCCACTGCAAACCAACAGTAGCAATAATGTTTCATTATTTACCTCCAATATACTACTATACTAAAACTAACTACTAAACTCCATCATGCCAAGGATCATATGAAAGAGATATCAAGACAATCAAAGCTGAAATCCGAGTGTAATTCCAAATCAGACACAATTTACAATCTTGGCTCCTTACAATCTGCATCTGCAAAGATGATGTTGGGACTCTTGCCACCCATCTCCAAGGAAACACGTTTGAGATTGCTCTTTCCAGATGCTTGTTGGATCAGCCTTCCAATCTAAAAAAAAAAAAACCAGTCTTGGATGTAGTTTCTTAGTGTTGTATGACTAATGAGCATTTATACTGTGTCACATTTTTTTTTTTACATAAAATGTCAACTACTGGTATTTTTAACTCTTATATTGTAACTCTGGGAAACAGTCTCTACAGTACTTGTCCTTGATGCAAACTTAATAAAAAAGCCATCACTGTCTGCAACTCTTGTACATCCCCATCAGAGTTAGGGTTCAGACTTGAGGCAAAGCCAAAAGCACAGTGAGTTTTGTAAAATCTGTGTCTGCAGTTGATGCTCTCGATCCCCATAAAATCAACATCATAACCTCCTTCCAATGTCGACCATGTGATCAATTAAAAACATGTTCATCTCCAAGCAAATTTTAATTCTTAATCCTGAAGGAAAAATGATGAGAATACCTCAGTAGAGCCAGTGAAGGCAACTTTATCAATGTCCATGTGTTCTGAGATTGCAGCTCCTGCTGTTGGGCCATAGCCTGAAACAATGTTGACAACTCCAGGAGGAAAGCCAGCCTACAATAACAAATGAAAATATTATCCTATGAGCTTAACTCAGCTAACAATTTATGAAGGTGTGGAACTGAAAAACAAGACAAATACGTTTTGTAGTTTGGCAAACTGAATTTACAACAGCTGATGTTTAGCATGCTGAAGCATGATGTCATATGAACAGAAGTGTAGTGCAGCCGAATGGAGAAAAGGCCTTTTACACAATGCATGTGACCTATTCACTTTGGCATTCTATAATAAAATGGATGTCAATTTTTCTTTTTCAATGGCACCTTTTCTCTTTTTGAAGTACTACACAAATGGCCAAATCCTGAGTCAATTTGAATTAATAACTGACCTCTTTTATCAGTGAACCCAGATACAATGCACTGAGGGGAGTCTGCTCAGCTGGCTTGATAACCATGCTGTTCCCACAACAGAGGGCAGGACCAAGCTTCCAAGTGAACATCTCATTGGGAAAGTTCCATGGAATGATGGCTCCACACACCCCAACTGGCTCATGACGTGTGTAACAGAAATAGTCACCCTCTGGAATAAAAACACATCAAGTGATGACATACTACATTTCTCACCTTGCACCTCACTGGCCCATCTGTGAATCCAGCCAGGTACATGTACATCATGCGGTTTGTTGGTTCCTACCCATCTACATGTAGACAGGTTTTCCACCCTACACGTATTTAAGGGCTTGTGAGTCCTTTATCTCACAAGTCTTTATTGATTGATGTCTCAGAAATTTATTTTGCTATGAATTTCACGACACTTTTTCCAAAGGTTTCAAGACACAAAAAGAATGATGGAAAATACTTCCTCCCAGGAGCACCAACAAGTATACATTCTGTACCAGTATAAAAATCTGTAACACCATCTTGAATTCTTCTTATAGTTGATCCAATTTACCACTTGAATCAGCCAGCAAGCCTGGAGAACAGTGTATCTCAAAAACTTTTTGTCTTATACAGGTCCAATGTATGAGCTTTTGGAAAAGTTTGTGGTATACATGTACATGTAGTAGCATACAGTACATTTTGCAACGTAAATTTACAATTTTGTATCACACACACCTAACATTAGAGAGCTTGTCACACTGTAAGTGCCAGTGTATACATATACGTGCTTGCAACAGATCTTGCGATGATTTCACTTGTTCAATTGCCCTTTCATTCAAAGAATTACTCTTCTCGCATTCTTTAGATATTAGGAGATTTTAATTCAGTGTCATTCAATGAAAACAAATACAATGTAGCTGTATCAGTCAGCATTTCTTCATTCAAACATTCATTTGCTTGCAGGAATGATGACATAATTGTACAAACAGATTTGAGAGACTTACTGATTGGTATGGTTTTTCCATGGATCTTATCTGCCCAGCCACCAAAGTAACGCAGAACCTCAACTGATGAATACACACAGCTCAACATAGTCTTATACAATGTACCATTGTCCAGAGTGTCCAAACTCTATGTCAACAAAATATAAGAATATAGACCCATTTAGGAGAAGTGTATGATTGTAATTTGATAGTAATATTGAGGAGTTGTTATACATGTAGAGATACTACTAAGCATATTTACCCGATACCCATGCAAGAAAACTGAAGAGGAATCAGTCACAATATTGATCTCGCGTCAAGTTGCTAGGTAACCAAAGGTACACTGTATGTTTGAAATTCTTTAGTAACATAAACATTTGCAAAACGTCCAAATTTACTCTCATAAAACTTAAAAATCTTCCTCCAGTTTATGCAATCAGATAAACGTTCATTGTTTGACAATTCTGTATTCCAACACTTTGTGACTTTTTGGGGGGGGGGCTCTGTACTACTGTCCCACCAAAGTTGACCAACCACAGGTTAGCATCAGTTGCCATTGGGATGTAGTAAACAAAGGTTTGTTAAAATAAATTATTTGACTGACTGACTGACTGATTGACTGACTGACTGATTGACTGATTGACTGACTGTCTGACTGATTGTCTGACTGATTGACTGATTGACTGACTGACTGACTGATTGACTGATTGATTGATGGGTTGGGTTGGGTTGGGTTAAATAAAGGTTAAAATAAAGGCACAAGACCATTCCAAGCAATGTTAGCCATTTCACACAATGTACAAGTATTGCTTATGGTCTAGGCAATATTTGTTGCTTAAGCTCCCCAAATTGGTTGATTTTGCTAAGCAATAATCTATGGTCAGACACTTTGTTTACCAAGAAATTTTGATGATGGGCCACCTGCAAGTACATGTACGGGTAAGGGAGTCAAAGCAAAATAAAAGCACTTAAGGTTTTAAAAGCACAAAGCTCATTTCCAAATACTAACTCAAACAAGACAAAAACTTCTTACAGCAATGTACTCTGCATCTCTCTCGTACAAGTCAGCCAGTTTATGCATAAGCTTCCCACGTTCATGAGCATCCATTGTGCGCCATGGCGTTCCAAGTTTGACGGCCTCCCGAGCTGCCTTCACTGCCAAATCAACATCAGCCTTTAAAAAAGCAACAGATATCACGTCAACAATTTCAGTCCCCTCTTTTCACAATCTCTTTATCCCCTAACTCATGGCCACTGCAAGAACACTCCAACAATTTGTTACATTACCTCAACCAAATGCGTGTAGCCAGTTTACAGCCAGTATAAAAAAAAATCGAATTTGTTAACTGTAAGAAATAACTAAGAATCAAATTAAAATTTATAGAGCACAGAGAAAAACAGTTTTTGATCAAAACACAAAACATTTCTTTGACTGGAAACGTCCATGCCATGGATGAAAATGCAAATAGATTACATGTACATGCCTTCAAGAAATCTGGACATGTTGGAAGCACCTCCTTTAGTTGCCATGGTTAAATATATGCTCTTTTACTCACTGCAACTAGCAGATGAATTGCGGAAGTCCTTCTTGTTTGTTACAGATCTTAAACTTGTAGCTTAATGGCTTAGTAGACTTTTCCTATTAATTCTAGCGCATCAGGGTTGCTCAACAAAAAGTAGATGGTCATATTTCACTTTACCTTGCCCCCTTCTTGAATGTCACATATCTTTTCTCCTGTCTGGGGGTTGATGGTTGGGAAGGTTTTTCCACTGACTGAGTTCACAAACTCATTGTTGATGAACAACTAAATTTTAAGAAAATGAAATAAATTGGCAATTATGAGTACTAACATCCCTTTCTGCTCTGAAGGATAAACATCCTCCCCTGCCAGCAAAAATTTCAAAACAAAACAAATAATTTATATTTTTCTTAAATGATATGTACATGTATAGATAGATCTTATGGTAGGATGAGTGACGCTAATTTATAGAGGCACGTTGCCTGTTGTAGTGAATGCTGATGAAACACAAATGTTGACAACGTGTTACACTGTGACTGTATTGACTGAGGAGGTTGCGAAAGATGACTAGTTCACTGCAATACTTTGTGAAATACTACCACTGCTACATTGTACATCGGTATCTAACTGAAGAATCTGACTTGATCTAAGAACAGACGGAACTACTGTATAACTGAACTCTGAAGAATTCTCAGCTGACTGGATTGAACTACATGTACATGTAATGAACTAACGAACTGTTTATGAGGCAGGGCTACACATAGTAAATACAATGTAACCCCATGCGGTGAGAAACAAGATGTACATTTGGCATGTTCTTCAATAAACTCTGGATGTCATTTTTCAAAACTTCTAAAAGAGTGACTTTGATCATGTAAAATACAAATAAGCACCTTCAGATTTATAAAAATGATCATTTGGGAATAATTAGGCATACTGTGTACATTTGGTGGACATTTGGTTGGCTACCAGTGCAAATCAAATGGAGTTGAATTCATTTAAAGTTTTATGTCTAAGTATTTGCACCGAAGGACATGATTTCAAAACTTCTCTCAACAAGGACAATTCAGTATATTTTTCAATTGATGTATTTTAAAGCACGTAAGAAATACATTGTAACTTTAAAAAAATATATAAGCCATTAAAAAAGAGCACAAAATTGACAGAAAATGACGAGGAAATTTTGGCTCTTTTAATTCTCTTACCGTTTATAATCACTCTCACTATACCAGGTCTCATACCTTTCAACAACCGAAAATTATCTTTAAGTTTGGCTGCATCAAAAATGTACAATGAGTACAATATGTTCATTGCAAACGTCATATTTGACAGAATTTTGATGATGTTCAAGAATTTTGACAAAATATGCATGACGTTCTAGAATACCGAAAACGCTGTCACACATAGTGCTTGAAAATTCCGTTTTTTTGGAGTTATCCACGCTGAAAATTACATTAAAATAATTAATGACTCTGCGCATTAGATTTTTATCATGAATCGTCTCAGACGTCATTTTTAAAAATGTCATTCAGTATGACCGATTTTCTTTAGAGAAACCTTGGTCTGAAGAGAAAAATCCCAGAGCGTCGCCATTCCATGGAGGGGCTCATGAATATCGAATGAAAAAGAGGGCACACTATCTGGGTTGATGTCAAGAGTCAAACAGGCCACGATACATAATCGGTATTTTGGACTGTGGTTTTCGGAAATGTACTTGAAGAAAATGTAATCGGTCCAGTCGTAAAAAGATGATGGTTTGGTGGTGCTTTTCTGCACTCTTTTTTAAAGCTTATGTTGTATATGTATCGATTTTGATTTTTACTCGCTGTTTTTTTTCAGTTGATTTTTTTATACTAATGATAGAATCGAATGACGTTTTCGACTGCCAACTTCGGGACCCGACTAATTTTGAGAGGTATTTTTTAATTTCGTGATGATGGTTTTAATATTATCACCTTTCACCACATATAAATCTGTGTAAAATAACCGGGGGGGATTATCACTCCTTGGTAAACTTTACTGGCTAGGATTTCAACAGGTTGTTCATGTCCATCAAAAATGCTGACGTTCGAGACATTAACTAATTAACTCCAATTAAGTTGAAAGATGGACACGGCCATCACTGTTCCAGATACATGTATCAGCCATGACTTCCCTCATTACATCAGACATTGGGAATTAATTCACTGCTGTTCTCTTCAGGAAAAATGAACTCTCAGGAACCAGTCATGTACATTGTACATGTACTTACATGTAGTTGTTGTATAAAGAAAACTTTACCAAAGGAGAATCTTAGTCAGGCATCTTCGTTTGATCCTCAAAGATGACTGTGACTCAGTGGTATCATCTTGGGAACAATGATCCTGTTACTGAAAAACTTACAGAGCCCAAGTGAAAGTAAGGCAAAGTAGGTACCTCTGTACAGGTGTGTGGGTGTATACATGTAGGTGTGTACATGTAAAAGGAAAAGTAATGACTACTGAACACTGAATCTTTAAATTGGCAATCAGGATGTACATGTACATGTAAGTAATTGCAGAAATTAGGGGTCCAAAAATGTGATATTTTTGTGTCCCTGTTGCATCTGCCCTTTGTTATTTGACTTGGAAATATCACCCGAATTGATTGCAAACTAGTACTATTTTTTTGGCAGGTAATTTGCATTAATTTATTACTCTCGGAAATTAGAAAATGTGTTCTGTACTTATAAAAATCATACGTCAGATGTGACAGGGACACGAAAAAATGGACCCCTAATTTCTGGAATTACCCAAATTTTGGACGTTGTACCCAGACCAACCCAAAACAGACTGGATGATGTACATATGTAATTGCACTGGGAAGGTTCAGACAAATTATACTGTCCCTAAATATCATCTCTCAAATGTTGTAAAATGCTCCCTAGCCTAAGGTACACATACATGTATGAGTTTAAACGGTGACTGAACATTTAAGATCCACTCTGGCAAAATCCAGAGTTGAAGGCTGGTTCAAGGGTCAGGTGCATGTGTAAGATGTGAGTATACAAGTAGCAGTCTTGTTATGCATTGTCTGTAGATGAAGAACATTGTACGTACATATGTACATGTACCGGTATGTGCATGGAAAATTTGTCTGTAGGGTAACCCTACCGTAGGTAGACATAGCTAAATGAGGACAAACCCAAACATCTTGTGCCCGTGTTAACTTGAGATTAAGGACTGACGTTTTCAACAGCCAGCTCTAGAGGTTTCACCAGTGACAGGTGTTCACCTGCACTTAAATACATATATGTTACAGACCTGGGAAAAGCAACGTATGCTTACTCCAAGCCTGATTCACTGCACGTTTACAATACATTGCAGTACTTTTATGGATGGCCAGTAGACATTAGTCCATGAACTGCTGGTACATGTACCTGAATATAGAAGTCTTTCAGCCTTAAGCAGCTCACAAGAAAAGTACAAATACATGTAAACCTGAAAATAAACTTTGCATTTGTGTTTTAATGAACATATGTTATACATCTAAAGAGTAAACACATCTGTCTGGAATCTTGTTCACTGGTTGTACTTTGAAAGATCTGAGATTTAACCTTTTAACCTACACACATGCATGTGCCATACAATGCTGCATTTAACTCTTCATCCTAACCATCCAGAGAGGAGCAGGTTAGGTGTAAATGACACTGGTCAAATCAAGCTTGGGTATGGATTCTTAATTGTTGAATTACTTATCATGTAATTCTTGCTGAGAATCTACCTAATTCAATAATGTACCATGCAGAATACAACAAAAATTTAGGAAAAATCAAATTGATAACTCAGTGATGTAGATCCTGTTGGGAAGAAACCCACAATTTGACCAACAATTAGCAATTGTAATTAGCAAAATATCATATCCTGGGGGCAGTTTACTCAGAGGGCAATTGGTAGTCTTCAAAACAGATCAGCTGATGTTTTATCTGCATACCTGCATTTCATACAATTGTGCGCAAGTAAAGAATAATCAGTTTATAATCTCCCTGGCCTTCGACCACCGGCACAATTATAATAAATACATGCACAAAAATGGAAATAGCTCTGTTTGGGGGGAAGCAGCATAATGCTCTATCAACATTCATGCTGTAAATGTACATGTACATGAGTGATTGATAATCATGTACAACATGCATGATATACTTCAGACTCTGCACACGGCACAAAGCTAAGACCCATAAGCACAAAGCTCAGACCCGTAAGCACAAAGCTCAGACCCGTAAGCACAAAGCTCAGACCCGTAAGCACAAAGCTCAGAACCGTAAGCACAAAGCTCAGACCTGTAAACAGGGCCCTACGTATACTCCTTTGTCGATATACTGGGCCCTGTCCCGATTGATAGGGATTTCTTTCAATCAAGTTTATTCAGGATGTCTAGGGATATATCAAACATCCGCTGGATCTTATGAGCTGAAATTGCCACGTTGAACATGTAGCACGGCTTGCTCTCCATGACGTAACACTTAACAGCTATTAGTTTTGTGCAAGTTGGGCCAAAATTCGTCCAAAGTGGGGAAAATGCCAACAGAAGGCAACATTTTTCCTTGAGATGAGGAAAACGCAAGTCTTCTGCAAATAGCAACTCCCTAGCTGGGGGAATAGCTACATAAGTAGAGAAAATACTGGTGCAATTTCAGCTCAGAAAATCCAGCAGATGTTTGATAATATCCCCAGGCATCCCAGATAAGCTTGATCAAAAAAATCACCATCAATTGGGACAGGGCCCAGTATATCGGCAGAGTATAGGCCCCCTAGGCCTACATATGATGTAGGCCTATATGATGCATGTCCTGTTTAAAACAGGTAGGTCTACACAAATCTGACCCTGCTCGAGTGTAAATGTACTCACATGTCATATGCATGTCTTGTGAATGTGATGTACATGTAGATCTGGCAACCAATGTCTAGGCTTATTTTTTTACATAGGCCTTCATGTTCGCAGAATAGGCCTGGCAATATTTCAACCTGGAAAATTTAAAAGGCAGAGGACCGGAGAGCAAGGCTCTAAAATTACAAGGCATTTATCCCTCAAGCCTGTAGGGCTAAGGTCAAGGCTTTTGTCCATCACTGCAGAAAATGCTTGTCAATGTCACGCTTGTTTTCTGTGGCCCGAGTGTGGGCGGCAGACGGCGAAGAACCCCTCGGGCATACCGTGGGGCCTTCCCGGTGGCTTTCCTCGCTTTATGCATAGAGCAAGGAATGCTCTACGCTTTTATACATGTAGATCCTGCATGCCATTTACCTACCTGTGTGTACCTGACTTGTGGTGGATCCATTTCTAAGGAAACGTACACGCTCTTATAAAACCTGACCAGCCCAGACGATCAGCAACACATGTATCTGGAGACCTCGTTGATACGTGTGGAGTAGACAAACCTGAGTTCTATGTATGAGACTAGGCTTGCTAGCTGCATACGTGCTACCAGGGTCGGCAATGCAGTGAGCATGTTACGCCCCAACTATAGCATCAGTCCCAACTACAGTTGAGACAGTCCCAACTAGAGCGCTGGAGCTGGGCCAGCCCAACTACAGCACAGAGGTCCAGTGTGTGCGCAGCAAGCATGTGCCAAGGTTCTATTGTTGCATAGACTTGGATAAGGTTGAGAAATTTTCTACAGAAATTGCTCAAAAAATAGTTAGGCCAGCCCAACTGTGGCACTACAGTTGCGACTATAGTTGGGACTGGTGCTAAAGTTGGGGCTTACACTTGCATAACACATTGCTGGTGATGTGGTGATGGGTGCAGACCACTAATTCATTAAAAGTATTAAAAGTGCCCCCGCAGTATCTTTTGAAAAGGGAGATTGTTTGGCCCCCAAAATGGTGAGATTGTTTAAGTCGTTGCCAGGATCAACTCCCTGGGTCTTTGAGCTTTCATATGAGGGCAGAAGGGCTGAAAACTACGGTTGAAAAATGATCCTAAGTGCCCGAGAACGTTGAGGGTTGCCACTTGAAAAATGGCTGCAATCAGACTTCGGAAAAATCACTTTTTGGGGGGTGATTTTGTTTTGTGGGAATAATTAAAAATGTGATGGTTAACCCACAAAAAATTGAAAAGAAATTGAAAGATAAGTAACCAGACAAGAATTTCATTTGTGTTTCAGAAATCTCAGGGATGTTGGCGTACATGCTATTGGGCCCCGAACGGTGCTGATTTTACACTGTTTTCAATGGGGCTTGAATTAGTGGACTGGACCCTATAATGATTTTGTCCGAAACGGGCTTCCAGAGCTACTTCCAGCTAGGTCTATTGTCAACGCGTGTCCACACATTTCCAATGGAGCAAAGACCTAGACCTACAATCCCGGACAAAACTCGTTGGAACATGCCTCCCCCCTTGCCCCTTGTCAATGTTGCTTCTTATTGGGTACGTTGGGCCGAATCTTGGTCCAAT